GAAAAAAAATCTCGAATGAGATAAGATCATACGGACAAAGTCTGGCCTAATAACAAGCAGCTGCTCCTTAAGTGATTTCAGAGGCTGTGTTTAAAAAGCTCATGACAACAGAACCGTGACACCAAGCTCCAGGCCCCTGTGGAAACCAAAAGCACACAGCAGCTCTCCCCACCGCAGTGGAGAAACCCTCACTGTCATCTGTTCACTGCCTCTTAGACACTCCAGTTTTCTAGCTCAAAACATGGAACTTCTACATTAAAAAATACAGTTTTTGGAGGATTGCACACCAGCAAATTTATAAAAATGATACAAAGAGTGCCGTTGAGGATGAGAGCCAAAGGGAAAACTGGATTAGAGAGCAGCATATGCAAGAGCCATAACATCAGCGTGGGTCTAAGAAGAAATCTGATGCTTCGTGTACATAAAGGTGTTGTCTTCAACATTATTATTATTGTTTTAATTATTATTAATTCATTTTTATTTATTGTTACCAAGGAATGAGTTGTCCTTCTCTTCAGATTAGCTCAGTTGTGAAAACGGCATAAAATGTCAGTGAAGTCTGGAATCATGCTTCTAATGAGGGGAGATTTGGTGACCTGCATTGGTGCGTGAGCATGAGACCACAGAAAGCACATTTTGTTAATCAGCTGATGAAAGCAGTTCGACAAATGAGACTTACTTAAAACCGACCAACGCTAAAATTCTGCAAACAACTTGTGATGCTTTCAGCCAAAACGATACAGTTGTTACTTTTGTTGAAAACCTTTATCATTTAGGTGCTGCTGAGTCACAAAATTAACTAATTAGATTTAGTTTTTTTTTTGTTTACCACCAACAATGAGAATTTCACTTGTGAAAAATGTATTATTCAAAGATATCAAATAATACACATATTCCATTTATTTAAAAGTTTGCTTTGGGTTTGGGTTATTTAGGAGACTGAATGACATAAGTGTTTACGAGGGCGCCGAGTGTCTTTGTGGTTTTAGTGCATCGTTGTGTTGTCACCTGGAATTAAACATATTCAACAATATTCAGTGTTTCCTTGAGTAGGGAAAACAAATCAAACAGCTTAAACAGTGGTTAGTGTCCAAACCAGAAACAGACTCAGATCTAATTAGGACACTTTTTGACTCAAGTGAGACAAGAATATTTGCCCTAATGTTAAAATATTTTTGCAATTGCATCACATACCCCACAAGAGTCACCTGTTCCTGAAACCTGTTGATAACGTGTCATTAGTACCATTAAAAAGGTACATGTGTCCCCGTTAAACCTGATGAATAGGTTCATAGATATGTGGAAAACCACAGATTCAAAGGTGAATATTAGATTAATTCTCCTTTTCCTCTGCAGGGATGAAAGGCAGACCGTATGTTGTGAGCTTAAAACAGCTTGACTTCATAGATGAGAATGCATGTCATTGATTATTCTGATCTGTCTCCTATTTGGGATCTGTGGCATGTCAGGAAAATAAAAAGCAGACAATGACTGGGGACTGTTGAGCAGCTCAGATCCTGATTCGAGTAAAATTGGACCTTATTCTCTTGTGCAAACTGTTTGTATAATCGGTTCCCAACTGGTTTGAAAGGTTAAAGGAAATGAAAAGGTGACGTAACACAAGATAGACTCCCAACGTTCTAGACTTGTGTCTTCCACACCGTGAAGTTTGTCAGTGACTGAGAATAATTTCCTTTGAGCCTGTCTGAAAAATAAAAGTTCAAATGCTGAAGTTTTGGATTCATATCAGAACACGTTTAGAAATAAGACTTGAAACAGAATCCCAATAATAATCTGCCCCAAGACTGATGGAACATCACAAGCTGATCAGGTAGCATTAAAGATCAGGCCGGTGGGTTTTTCTTTTTCTTTTTGATGTCACAATACATTTAAACAAGAGGATGTATTTGAATCTTAGTTGGCAGTGATTGTTTGAGCAGATTCTAGGTTTTATTCTCCTTCTATATTTTCTCCTTGTTCAAATGATTCAGCCTTAAGGTCCAGACACCGTCCACTGGGGTTTCATTTTAAAGCGTCAGTCAAGAGTTTGGCTCAGGAACCGAAGGGCTTCAAGTTTCTCTGTTTTCATGCGAAACGCTCCGCCAACACCTCGGGCTTTGTGTAAACCTATAAAGGCTTTTGCCATCTCTCAGAGCACATTTAATGTCAACACAAGGTTATTGATAGCGGTGCTACTCGAGGGGAAGGCAGATCCATTGCATTAATTGGATTTGAGTATCTAACATAAATTACTGAGAACATTTTGACTTATTTGTTTGGATTTTTCATTAAAACTTAACCAGAATCTCAGAGTGATTTAATTCAACAGTGTGGTTTCTGTTAAGAAGGAGACAAAAACCCTACAGTTAATAAAATACACAGCAACAAAAATCTTAATTATTGATGACTGTTAAATCTTTAATGTGTCTTAGGCTCTGGAAAAGTAAATTGAGCCGAATCAAATGAAATTACTTTTGTTTTACCTGTAAATATTCTACAAGTGGCTGCTGAATTCATGTTTAGTTAGAGTGAAAGTACCTGCTGCTAGGGGGCACTACATACATTTCAGGGTAGTTTAGTTAGTACACCATATCACCATGATTGTTGCTAGTTTAAAAAAAACACTACGGCAAATGTTGTGACCTGCGCAGCAGAAGGCATCTGTGACTCCAGACTTTGATGGTCCTTCAGTGAATTCCATGAGAGAATGCAATGCTGATTGTAGTTTTCTAGCGCTGTAGTTTCTGGATCTGCTCGGGGTCCTGCGCCTGGTGATGACTTCATTATACTACGGCAATAGGGAGTCTAAGTCATGCCCACCTGCTTCTGCATCACGGGTCCCCGGAAGATCGAAAAAATGAATGCAAGTCAACGGGGCTAAAAACACTATTTTCTAATTCTGTTTGTTTTGTGCCATGAATTTCACATATGATGTCCACGAATTTTAAAGACACATTTTGATACCAAGAACGCGTTTATTTTCAGTCAGGGGAACACTATTTTAGGTTTTGTGTGAAAATAAGTCCAGGACTACACATACGCTTCACAAAAGTGACGTCATTGAACCAGACACGGAGAAAACTGGGGGAAAATGGGCTGTAAGTTCAGCAAACTTCCCACTGGAGGAAAGAACCACCATAAATCTGGTCAGGTGGTAAGTAGCAGCTACTTTGGGGAGAGGAGATTATGTGGTGACGTGCCGATGTGCGACGTGCCGATTACTAGTTTGTAGTCATGCTAATTACAAACTTTTACAAGCTAATAAATCTCAAAGTATGTGACTGGCGCGGTCGAAACACCCATCAATAGTTTTCATCTAAAATGCAGTACAACATGTGTGTGACCCAGGGTGTAGGGCAAAGTGGATTGGAAAATAGCGTTTTTAGCCCCGTTGACTTGCATTCATGTTTTTGTTCTTCCGAGGACCCGTGTTGCGAAAATAGGCCTAGGCTCTCTGTACCACTTGGCCAAAATGTATTCCATCTCTTTTTCAATTCTTTTCTTTTGCACATGTTTTAAAAAGAGTTTCGCAGTTTTGTTATTAACTTCATGGTTCTTGCTGCCTAAATGTTTTCGAACGTGTTAAGATATAATTTCTATAAGTCGTACATCCAGCCAATTATCTAGTGTAACGTCATCAACAGGTACAGGACCCTGAGCCGGCCAGAAAAAAACATGGCGTCTAATATGGCATCCGCCAAAGACACTAGACCCACGTCCTATGTTCTTTTTATGGTTATATGTTACAAAGCTGCAAATATTTTTCAACAACTGGATGTCATTTTATTCATTTTCAAAAATGTTTGGATGGATATTTCCAGAGATTAAAGGTAAAATTACACAGAGAATCAAGTTTGAATGTGGGTTTCCTCATTTTTAGCTGGGCAGAATACTTCAGATCTCAACAGGCTCAAAAGTGGCTTATGTAAGGCTGGGTTAACACGGCAAGATAATCAAGATGCTGTCCTTCCAACAGTCTTAAGGACAAGCCCGATGGGGCAGCAGTAGCTCAACAGGTTGAGCAGGTTGTCCAGTAATCGGAAGATTGCAGGTTCGATCCCGGCTCCGGACAGAGAAATCTGCTGTTGTGTCCTTGGGCAAGACACTTAACCCACCTTGCCTGCTGGTAGTGGTCGGAGGGACCAGTGGCGTCTGTGCTCGGCAACCTCGCCTCTGTCAGTGTGACCCAGGGCAGCTGTGGCTACATTGTAGCTCATCACCATCAGTGTGTGAATGTGTGTGTGAATGGATGAATGCTACACTGTAGTGTAAAGCGCTTTGGAGTCCTTACTCTGAGAGGCGCTATACAAGTGTGTGTTATCATTCATTCATTATAACTGCTGTAAAAATAATTTTATCAGACGTTCCTACCATGTGTGGTGTGTTATGAGCGCTCTGGTTGGTTCAAAAGGAAGAAGGTGCACTCCCATCATAAATTTGAGCTATTAAACCTCTTGAATTGTCTTAGTTTGACTTCAAGGACAAAATCACATTTGATCAAGGAAGACTTCCCGTCTGACCCGGAAATGTTTATGTGTGAAATCAGTTCATGCTTTTTAATATGGCCACACATAGGACCAAAACTCACTTTGTGTTTGGTCTCTTGTGTTTAGAAAATAGTGAAACTATTTAAGAATCAACAATGGTGCTCATAATAGGAAACTGGCTGCTCTTGCATGTAGATTTTACGCCTTGAGACACTCTGATAGCTCCAGGATATGTTGTAATGTAGGTGAAGTGGGAGCGTTGAGGAAAAATTAGAAACAGAAGGTTCAACCTATAGCCGGAGATCACCGTTAACTCCCAGGAGAGACGCTGCTAAGAAAAGGCCTCACTATGAACATCAACCTGAGTGAAGAGACAAGCTGTTCAAATTGCGAGGAATGTGTGTCTCCTCTGGATAATTGACACTAAATCATGAGCTGTGGGAAAACAGGGAGTTGGAGCCCTTTGTATGTGGCAGGGAGGAACGTGTGATGGAGGTTGAGTGAGGACCTTACTGGAGCACATGCTGATTTCTGGGCTGCGAATGCCAAAGTATCCGGCTGGACAGTCGTGAAGACACTCCCCGTACTGCCTCATCCTCTCTCTCCGCAGAAACAGGAAGAGTCTGGGCTGGCAGTTTACGCAGCCGTTGTCCCTGGAGCACACTGAGCAGCCTTTACAGATGGGGTACGCTCCATAACTCGCTGCAAGACAAAGGGAGAAAAATGATTAAAGGAGGTGGTATCAAATTATCATGATGATTAGAAACCAGGAGGCAGCAGTGACTGGTTTGTTGTGGATCCTGACTTCACTTGAAGAGTCAGGGTCACCAGCGGAGTCAAGGAGGGCTGATCAGCGGCCCAAAATCTACAAACTAAACCACAACAGATACATCAGTAAGATTATCTCTAACACGGAGTGAACACATCCAAGTCAACGATTTGTCATTCATGCAAACTTCGGTTCCCCTCTCAATATGATGAATGATGATTGGTTATGAATGTGAGCATTGCATTAATTCTGGTCAGAGCTGGCCTGCTGAGCGATTGTGTTGAGACAGCTGATGAAAGCCCTCAAAACCGCCGTGGCTCTGGCCATGGCTTTATTTGTCTGAGGAAGACAAAGCAGCCAGTAAAAGACGGTCCATTCCACATTAAGTGACTCTCACTCTAAACTCTTCAGCATCCCATTTACAGGAAAATGTCCTGAGGCAAATCCAAACGGGAGACACTCGGGTTGATCTGAGCCAAGTTTAAGATATCCCAAGCAGGGACTGGATAACAGCAGGGCTCATACTGAGCGACCTACCACAACGTTTAATAAAACACTGAGCTGGACAAAGCCTGAGAGCCAGAGCGAGGCGTGCTTGCGTTACTGGCCGCCGATTCACATATTAAGTTTCTCTGAATCGATGCATCCAGACTAAAGTGAACACTCATGAGTCCTTTGCAAGCATCAGCTCATAATCAGGTGAAAATCAGTCAGTATCATTCTCAGACTCATCTTTTTATGTCTTTTGTTTAAGTGCTGAGAGAAAGTCTTCTAAGTATGCTGGCTCACCCAAACTGCAGCCATTCAACTAAAGCCACAATGAATGGGAGGAAGATCAGTGCTAATCAGAACGTGTCTTTGATGGTCTTTAGGGATGAGGTTTACAGCAGCACTCCATAAATCACAGCACCGCTGGGATGCGCTCTCCAATTCTATTTATCACGAACTAGTGATGGTTCATCTGCAGTCGCCGTTCCTCAGGAACACACAGAACCCTTGAAATCTAACTCATTTAGGCTCTAATGGTTCTCAAAATGGAAATGTGGTTCTCATATTCAATTGTCAGTCCAGTGTCTAAGAAAATATTATTTCTAATTTTAAATTGTGACAATTTAGGTTGTCTCCCAGTTCCATTCAACGTATTTGGACTCAACTGGTTTGATTAAGTGTGCACAGCTGCTGCTTTATCCATGCTGCGGCTGCAATAAAGGTTCCCATCAGGTAACACCACAACTGTTATATGTGTACGTCTCATATTTCGTTGTTAAATTTTCCGTGCTGTAAAACCAAACTGCACCATCAGACCAAACCCCAATACTTGCCTCAATGCAAAAGCATTCATCTCTATATAACAGATAGTCTAAATATGTTTACAACACGTGACAATCACGTTAACTTGGGCATTTTTACTGCAGCCCTCGCCAGATTCTGATACAACACTGATACAGAGGCCAACCTGGTGAAAGCTTAGAACTGTGAGCCTGAAAAACATCTTTTTCCAGCCCCTTTTCAGTCGGTTCATTCCTCCAAATGCTAACAGTATAACTATCCTAACAAGAAAGACATAAAATACAATAGGAACATGTGGTCTAAAGATCACTGGCTAGTCAATCTATGAAAATAATCTTCATAACTTTGGTTTGAAGATTCTGCTAAATCTTTGTTGTCAAAAATTAGTTTTGCTGGTTGCTAATCCTGCAGAGCTCGCTGATTGCAGAGAACATAACCACACACCGTCTGAGCTATGCATATCCCACATCCTGGAATTACCGTACAGCTAGGGGGAAAAAAGAGGAGGAAAAAAATGGCTGTACACAGTGGAGAGAAACTCTTAGTGCTGATCTTGGTAGATTAGCTTTTGTGTATGTCTGTGGAAAGGTTTGGAGGTTCAGGCCACAGGTATGTCAGGAAAGAGGCCACAATTCATGGTGTCTGGAGCAGCGCTGTCCAACTCACATCCCACACCACCGGCATAACGTCTAGCGCACTTTACATCAATCTGTCGACTGCCAGCAGGTTTGAGACATTCCTTAAAAAAGAAACAATCACTTCTATGACTCAGATTTTTTCGTGTAAGAAGAGAAGAACCAAAGAAAGAACCATCAAAGTCTGTTTTGCTGCAGCATCTTAACCCAATTGAACAAAAGCATAATGGTATATGTTTAGTGTGCTGTGGATTGCATTCAGAGTTGTAAATGTGGTCTTTGTTTTGCATATTGTGTCAACACAAACCCAATGCATATGAATTGAAACCATACTTTGACACATGCCCAGCAGCCTTCTATGGTGGTTTTTCTTCTGCTTGCAAATCATGTCATGCATTTTGGCAACCGCTCTCAAACCAGACATGTAGAAAAGATGCACAGAAAGTGGTCATTGTGAGATTAAGGGTACCAGCTTTTAAATGCATACTTTTAAAGCAAGAAGAGCACTGTGCATCATTTAGCATGATGCCGCTTGCACATGATAACTGATGTCATTTACAGTATCATCCACACAGTGTGTACATGAAACAAAACAAATCCACAGTTGTCACTTCTGAAAGAACTAAGTCGTAAGTTTGTATTTGCAAAAGCCAGGGTCCTAACAAATGTCCCAGAGGATGCCCACTCTAATATTTTAATAAAAAGACTACGAATGCCCAATATTGTTTTTTTAACCGATATCCATTATACCAAAATTGCTGACTCTTATTTTCCGACTTTGATAAAAAACGATACATAAGCAGGGTCCCCATCTCATAAAAACCTAAAAACATTTTAAGTTACTAACATCACATATCTGCTATCATGCATGCCTACATTTTAAAATGTTTTGTTCAAAATGACAACTACTATTTTTTGGTGTCCAACAGCAGCTGAATCTTTTTCTCCCCCAGTGTGACACTAACAAATGTTTATTAGTAATGTATTTTTTTCTCTATATTACAGTTACAGTGAAAAAAAATTATATCGATATTTGGTTAAGAAAAGCAAGCCTTGAAGCTTCTTGTGTTTGTTAGCTGTCTAGCTACATGTAGGACAGCGTACGTTCACTACACACCGGCAAATTTCTGCTTCACAAGTTGTGCCAAATAAACTAAAATATCTCAAAAACTTTAACTCAGATCTGTTATATTTTGAGAAGGGGAGAAGTATCTGAATAGTTTAATATATAATATATGTCGGGTATTTAAATGTTGTGTTATTATAAGACTGAAAACAGATATTATTATTTTCTGATATTAAATGTTTATGCCGATATTGTCCGATATTAATGTTAGTCCTATAATATTGGACATCCTTAATAAAGACCTACTAAATGCCAGTTTTTGGTGTCGTAAGTAGGGGTGTGCCATCTTAGGTGTCTCACAATTTGATTTAAATGCAGGGTCCTTTGATTTGAATATTTAACGATTATCATGAGTAGCACGGTAACCATGGTAACTGTAGGAGGCCTACAGGGCGTGGCTGGTCTGTGGGTCTCCGGAGGCAGCAGACAGGTACCGGATAGCCAAGCGGGGTGCAGCAGTGGCAGTTGCCGAGGCAAAATCTCGGGCGTGGGAGGAGTTTGGTGAGGCCATGGAGAAAGACTATCGATCGGCTCCAAAGAGGTTCTGGCAAACTGTCCGGCGCCTCAGGAGAGGAAGGCAGCAACTCACTCACACTGTTTACAGTGGGGATGGGGAGCTGCTGACGTCAACTGGGGCTATAGTCGGACGGTGGAAGGAATACTTTGAGGAGCTCCTCAATCCCACCTATGCGCATTCTGAGGAGGAACCAGAGCCAGGAGACCTGGGGATGGACTGTCCAATCTCGGGGGCAGAAGTTGCTGAGGTAGTCAAACAACTACACAGCGGCGGAGCCCCGGGGGCGGATGACGTTCATCCTGGGTATCTCAAGGCTATGGATGTTGTAGGGCTGTCATGGCTGACACGTCTCTGCAACATTGTGTAGTCATCGGGGGCAGTTCCTGTGGACTGGCAGACCAGGGTGGTGGTCCCCATCTTTAAGAAGGGTGACCTGAGGGTGTGTTCCAACTATAGGGGGATCACACTCGTCAGCCTCCCTGGAAAGGTCTACTCCAAGGTACTGGAGAGGAGGGTCCGGTCAATAGTTGAATCTCAGATTGAGGAGGAACAATGTGGTTTTCGTCCTGGCCGTGGAACTGTGGACCAGCTCTATACCCTTGCAAGGGTGATGGAGGGGGCATGGGAGTTTGCCCAACCAATCCACATGTGTTTTGTGGATTTGGAGAAGGCTTATGACCATGTCCCCAGGGGCACCCTGTGGGGGACGCTCCAGGAGTATGGGGTGGGTGGCTTTCTGTTAAGGGCCATTCAGTCCCTTTACCAGAGGAGCGTGAGTTTGGTCCGCATAGCCGGAAGTAGGTCGGACCTGTTCCTGGTGAGGGTTGGACTCCGCCAGGGCTGCCCTTTGTCACCGATTCTGTTCATTACCTTTATTGACAGAATTTCTAGGCGCAGCCGTGGTGTGGAGTGTGTCGAGTTTGGTGGCAGGAAAATCTCGTCTCTGCTTTTTGCGGATGATGTGGTACTCCTAGCTTCATCCAGCTCTGACCTTCAACTCTTGCTGGGTAGGTTTGCGGCCAAGTGTGAAGCGGCTGGGATGAGGATCAGCACCTCCAAATCTGAGACCATGGTTCTCGACCGGAAAAGGGTGGCTTGCCAACTCCGGGTCGGGGGAGAGGTCCTACCTCAAGTGGAGGAGTTTAAGTATCTCGGGGTCTTGTTCACGAGTGAGGGTAGGAGGGATCAGGAGATCGACAGGCGGATTGGTTCAGCATCTGCAGTGATGCGGACACTGAGCCGATTTGTCGTGGTGAAGAGGGAGCTGAGCCAGAAAGCCAGGCTCTCGATTTACCGGTTGATCTACGTCCAAATCCTCACCTATGGTCATGAGCTTTGGGTAATGACCGAAAGAATGAGATCGCG